AAGGCAGGAGGTGACGTGCTTGCTGCTTGTCCCGTGCCGTGGGAGCTGATGGATGTAGAAGTGGTGCCTGTTGCTGACTCGGTGGGAGTCTGTCCAGCTGCTGCCACCGTAGTTGCACCAACACCAAGCAGGGACAAAGGGGCTGTTGTTGCCTCTTCTGTAGGGCTGTGCAGGCTGGAGAGGGGAGAACCTGGCACTGCAACAGCAGTGCTGGGACCAAGGACGCCCCAGGATCCAAGAGTTGTCTCCACCAAGGGGCTACGTGCTGCTGGGGATGGGACAGCCTGCCCACCTCCACTTGTCTCACTGTGTGTCACAGCCAGGGATGGGGCACTGCTGGTGCTGGTGGCCCCTGCTGCGGCAGGTGGCATGGCTGTTGTGACCCTGGTCACAAAGGTCTCCCAGCCTGTAGAGGTGGTTGGCAGGTTAGCATTGCTGGGGAATGTGCTGGTGGATGGTGTGCTGTCTGGCATGGTGGCCAGGCTTGTGCCAGTGGTGTTGGAGTCAGGGACATGGGTGCTGTTGGTGCTGGCTGAGGGTGCTGCACCCTCGGTGCTGCTCTCAGAGTGGGTGGTCTCCACATGGGCAGTGGTACCTGTGGCACCTGTCCAGGATGCAGCTGTAGCCTCTCGCACATTTGTGTTGCCAACAGTCAGAGAGGTGATCCCAGCTGTGGGCTTGCCCTCAGTGGCAGGTGGCTCTGGTGATGGCCTGGCAGTGACAATCGCATGGCTGGGACTTGGCCCCGCTGAACTGGCACTTGGATTCTCCTCCGTGCTCACCTCCAGGAACCCCATCCCCATTGCTCGTCCTGTGGTGCTGCCATCAGACTGGGGGTCACCTGAGGCCCCCATTGCTCGCAGTGGGGCAGTCAGGGACAGTGGGGACATGACTGCTGTCATCTCTTGGGGGATGCTGGATGGGGACATCTCCAGAGCCATCCCTACATTGGCTCTGCCTTCCAGGAGACGGGGGATGTCTGCTTGTGATGCCATGGGGACAGTGACTGCGCTGGGTCCCCCGGAGCTATCTGATACAGCTCTGCCAGTGTCTGATGCAGTGTTGGGTGATGGCATTTCTGTCCCTGGAGCTTCCACAGTTTGGGGCCCAGTCCAGAGCACTGGGGTTACTGCAGATCTGGGTGTGACACCAGTTCCTGGGGTTGTTGAGCCTGCTGTGGGATCTGGCTGGCTGTGGCTGGGGTGTGCGTCAAGCACAGGCAGGGTGGCTTCAGTGTCCCCCAGCACTGCGGTGGAACTGCTGCTGGCCAGTGATGCTGATGCCATCCCTGCTTCACTAATTGGAGTGTTGCTAACAAAGGAGGATGGATGGGCAGTTGGCACAGCGATGGAAGGTGGTGGTGCAGCAGCAGCAGCTGGAAGGGCCTTGTCTGGCTTTGCTCCACTGGTGCCCATGAGGGACTCCATGCTGGGAGTGGCTGGAGGAGATCCGCCTGCAGCTGCCTCTGCTGTGGCAGTCCCAAGGCCTGTTGAGAGGGACTGAGGGAGCAGAGAGCCCATGGAGTGTGGAAAAGGTCTTGGAGAAGGACCATCAGGGTCACTGAGAGCTGCATGGGGAGAGAGACTCATGCTGAGCCCCACTGGTATGTCCTTGGTCTCCAGGATGGCAGTGCCTGGTGTGGCTTTGGTACTGCCCTCATTCCTGCTGGACACCAGCTCAGCACTGATGCTTCCCAGAGGTGGGATGTGCTCTCCAGTTACGACATCCATCACTGTAGCCAGTGTGCCCACAGCTTGTGTGGTGGCGTGGGGCTGGGTGACAGCCTTGTCTCCAGGCAGCCCATGTCCAGCAGTGCCCGGAGCTACGCTGTGGCTGAGGGGAAGCGTCTCCCCTGTGGCCAGCACAGCATCATCAGGAAGTTGGGGCAAAACGTCTGGAGGCAGCTGAGCGGGAGGCCCAGGAGGGTCCTGTGAGGCGCTGTGGTCAGTGTTGGGTAAGGTACGTGTCCCTGGCTCTGTAGCCTTGCCGGTGCCAATGGTGGTAGAAGAAAAGGTGACCTTTGCCAAGGATGAACTTAGGGAGTCTGCAGACAGTGGGGCTGCCATGCTAGCTCCCTCTGTGTTGGGGGGACTGGCTGTGGCTGCTGCCATCTTCATGGGGCTGGCCTTCTCCTGAGAGATGCTGGCAGCTGTGGCCAAAGGTGAGGTGGTCTCATCCAGCCCTAGGATGACCTCTTGGGACAGGAGCATGGCAGTAATACGTGGCTCAGCAGAGCTCCTGCTTATGCTGAGGGATGATGTCGCTGTGCTGTGCTCATCCTGGAGCAATGGCTCTGTGATCCATGCTGTCACTGGCATCTGCTCCACGGTGACAGCACGCGGGGCAAGACCCACTGTGTGCCCCGTTGGCTTGAAAGACAGAGGCTGCATGTTCCAGGTAGCGGTGGGAGCTGGAGGGACGCTGGTTGGGTGGCCAGCAGCACCTGGAGAGGAGACCCCAGCCCCTGACCCTGCCTGGGGGCTGCCTTGCATTGCTGGACCCCCAGGGAGAGCTGCCGGGCTGGGAGGCCCCTCGTGCTCACCACTGCTTCCAGCTGGGACCAGCGCTCTAGCTGTTGCCTGTGGCACCAGGATGCCTGTGGAGCGAGACAAGGCAGCTCCAGCTGGATCAACCTCACCGCGGCCCCAGCAGGCAGGAACCTGCCCGCGGCCAGCTGCCTGCCGGCCTTACCTGAGCTCTGGCTGCCCGCGGGGGCGGTGGTCGGGTCGGGAGGGGGGAGCTCTGCCCGTGCGGCTGCGGGGAGCTCCCGGCACACGGCCAGCTCTGAGGGCAGCTCGGCGCTGGTGCTGTCGGCCACATGGGAGATGCTGCCCGACTCGGATGGGTCCAGCGTGGGGACAAGGGGCTGCCCCTTCATCTCCCCGGCTTGTGCAGAAGGTGGGTGAAGGCAGGATCAGGAAAAAGCCAACCCGGAGTAGCCATCACCCCCACCCCTCCTCCCTTCTGCGGGAGGACCAACACCAAGAACGGGACAGGCATCTTCCCCCAAGGTGAGTCTCTCCATTTGATCCACAATTCCCGCCACCTTCCCCTGCTGCAATTGGGGACCATGACAAAGGTTTGGCACCCGCGGACAAAGACAGGGCAAACCCCGGCCGGGCACTCGGGCTCGACCGTGCAGCGTTGTAGCAACCGGAAAGTTGTTTGCAGCCCATCACCCACATGGTATCAGCCACCTGGTGATCCCGATAGCAGTGCGAGGGACCCTGGCACTTACCTGGCAGCACCCAGAACCCCCAGAGCACCCATCTCCAGAGCGGCCACGGGCCCCGGCACCCCATAGTGCTTCTTCTGTATCAGGGAGGAAGGCGACAGGGCTGCAGCTCTCACTCTCAAGGGAGCGCACGAGTGGCTCCACCGGTGAGCACTCCCCCAGGTGGGGGGGACAGGGACAGCTGCAGCTCTCACTCTCAAGGGAGCGCACGAGTGGCTCCACCGGTGAGCACTCCCCCAGGTGGGGGGGACAGGGACACCACGTGCACTGCCTGGGGCACTGACGTCTCTGTGCCCTCGCAGCCTGCGCTGAGGTGGCAGCGTCCCAGTTCTGGGGACCCACTGATGCTGGGGGACACACCCATTTTGCCTTGGGAAGCTTTAAGGTCCTTCCCAGGCTGACCCCACTATTGACAGCCCATGGCTGGGGTCCCCAGCCCCTGAGGAGCAACCTAAGGGTTTCAAAGTCACTTGGCCTAAAGGCACTGGGACTGCAGGTGGAGACGGGGGTCCCAAACACCTCTGGGAGAGGTGGGTCAGTCCTGGGCTCTGCACCCCTATCCACCCTCCTGGTTGCTGTCAGGTCCCTCCACACTTGGCTGCATGGCCAATAACCCCTGGCAGGGGTTGGCTTGTCACCAAGGAGGAAGAAGGAAGGAGCAGGCTATTGCTGGTGCCTTGGGGTCCCACGTATTGACCCTGCCCTGTCCCCCCCTTCGGCACTGCCGGTCCCAGGCGTTATCTGCACATCGCAGCAAACGCCCACACAAACCCGGATGGAGTCGGGGGGGTTGTTCCCGCATAGGTGGCGGTGCCAGGTACTGCCCTGGGTTGCAGGTCACCTTCCACCAGGGACAGAGGCCAGATGGACCCAGCTGTGTGACCGGACCCAGTGAGGCCACTGCAGCAAATGTGTTTGCTTCTTCACAAGGTCTCACGCAGCTCCAGGATCACTTTGGGAGGGAAGTAAGTCAGTGATGGTGTTGTGCCTTCCTCGCTTCACTGACAGCCCTGCCACGGTGGCTGCACCTCACGTAGGAAAACAGAAGCACAGAGTCTCAAGCAGCGACGCGTGACCATGCTCACAGCAGCACCAGCTCCCTGTCCCTACGCTCAGAGAGGGCCTGAGGGGTGAGGGAGCTGTGGGTGCACAGGATGTGGCCACGTATTATCTGCCACAGGAATAGATCCACGGTCATGCCAAGACAGCCCTTCCTCACTGTTTATGGCAGGGTCTCTCCTCTGAAGCCACCAGCTCTGGAGCAGAGTATCCTGGAGGCACCATCACTACCAATGGACCTGGTGGGTTTGGGCACCAAGATCCTCCTTCACCTGCTCCCAAGATCCCTTCCTGATGCTGCTAGAAGGCAGCACTGCAGGAAACCCAGCAAAGGGGCTCTGATACCCACTTGGAGGGGGGACACCAGCTCTGGGACCCCACAGGAGCCACCACTCCCGCACCTGCTCCCAGCTCCCTCTGCAGCGGAGGCACCCGGTTGCACAACAACCTCACGTGGGTGGGGGCAACGCCGGTCCCGCCACTCCCTGCCCGGGCATGAGTCAGGCAGCAGCCGGGAGCCGCGGGGCACCGGGCAAGAGGGGCCCGGCTACGGGGGGCTCCCCTGCAGGCAAGCACTGCCCACTCAGGGCAGGCAAAGCCATGCCCAGCCTTCAAGCATTGAGACTGGGGGTGGGATATACTGTGACTAACTTCAGCAGCCTTGGATGGGGAGAACTTTGCACCCTAAAGCAGCCTGGGAGGACTCAGCAGGAGTTTTTATAGGTGCACATGTCACACAGCTTCCTGGGGATCCCTAGAGTCCGTGCATCCCCTCCTGAGCTTCATCCCAGATGAAGGAGATCCCAAGGGTCAATCCCAGCTGTCTGCAGGGAGGAACCAGCACCCATGGAGATGTGGCCTGTCCGGTGTGTTGGCAGGGATAAACCTGGGAGACAGCCATAGGCACCCTCCTCCTCTCCATAGAATAGTTTTATATATATACATAATATATATATTAAAATTACATTTCTCTTTACAAAAACAATTCAACAAGGGGCCAGGGAATGGAGCACATTGCCAAGGCCAGGGCACAAGCACCCTGGAAGGTCTGTGGCGCTAGGCAGGGTCCCTTTTGGGGTGTCTCCACCCTCAAGTGGGGGCTCAGTCCAGAGTCCTGCAGCAGGTTGTGTGGGTGGAGGTGGCAGGATCGGCCCCATGGCGAGATGCCTGCTCCGGATCTGACACTTCTCGCCCTGTCCCTGCTGTCACCACCTGTAAGGAGAGGACACAACATGAACTCAGGAGGGGAGATAGTGCCATTCTGCCCACAGCAGTGCGGCACAGAGAACTGCCCCGCCCAAAACACTGGTGTCCCTACTTCTGGCGGGTGGCGCTGTAGGGATCGAGAAGGTGGGAGCTGGCCTGTGCCAGGTTCCAGTCGAACATCTCCAGCACCCGCTGGCACTCACCACGGGACTTCAGCCCCAGGCAGAAGAGCTGCTCCACCTGCAAGGGGACATGGCATGGCCAGAGGGGTGACAGAGGTGCCACCACTCTTGCTGGAGCTGGGATGAGGGAACAGGGGTGTGCTGTACCTTCAGGTACTGGATAGCCCGTTGGATGCTCCAGCCATGGTTCTGCAGGGCTGCCTGGCACTCCTCGGTGGTCACACCATGCACTGTGTCCTGTACCTGGGGGGGAGCTTGTGGTCACTGTCTGCTGCCACCCTTGGGCAGCAAGAAGCCTGTGACTGAAGCAGGGGACCACCGGGGCTGCATCCATCCCTGGTTCTGTCTTCAGGGAGCACTATCAGCCTGGAGCTGGGATCATTCTTATCCCTGGGATCTTAAATCTCTCCTGGGCTTGGGTGGGCCACACTATCCTCAGCCTAGAGAGACCAAGGGAACCATAGCAGCAGCCACTTTCCCTCCCCAGGGCCTTCAATTCCAATTTTAGCATTGCAGTGACATTTATGTCCCCTGCACATCTGGGGCTTTCTTGTAGCCAATCCCCTGGGGTTGAACTTGCAGAAACTGAGGCACAGGGTGGGAAAAGCTCTCGCTCAAGTGAGCCCAAGGCTACTCTTGCCCATGTGAGCCCACTCTTCATGGATGCTGGGGGATGACACTTACCAGCCGGATCTTGTCGGCAGGACGGCAAACATCTGGCCCGTCGTAAACGATCTTCTGGAGACTGCAGGAGGCTTTTACCAGGCACTTGGGCCCAGGGTTGCTGTTGTTGGAGGAAAAGTTGGCCTTGCAGTCTGGCAATGGCTGCTGCACCATGGGACGGACGGTGGCTGTGGTGACCTGGCGGGATGCTGGCACCTCCTCAGGGCTTTTAGCCTCCTTGAAAAACTTCTCATACTTGTCCAGGTAGGCAGGGCGCTCAGGCAGCAGGTAGTAGTGGGTGCTGCTGACCTTTTGCCCATCTTTCACGATGGGCAGGATGCAGGGTCCCTTGGAGCAGTCCTTGCCCTGAGCCTGGATGACCTTGGGGGTGGCGTACTTAGGGTCGAGGGCAAAGCTCTGTGTGGTGGGCATGGGCTTCCCTGGTGAGGTGGAGAGGCAGGAGCAGAGGGCGGCACGTTGCTGGGGGGAGCCCACCTGCAGAGCCATGGGGCTGGGTGTCCGGGAAGTGGGCTGGGACAGTGGGTCCCGTGGGGGAATCTGGGGTGGCCGGTCTTCCTCGCCCCCCGAAGCTGGGGAAAGGTCCCCTGACCAGCGCCCAGGCTCATTGCGGCGAAGGGGCCGGGGCGGGATTGGGACACGGGGAGGGATCTGGGGCTTGTCGTCAGCTGGCACAGCTGGTCCCAGAGGGACGTTGAGCCTCTTCATGCACTCCTGCTGCAGCTCCTCGAAGAGCTCGGTAGTCTGTGTCATGCTGGGCTGTTTGGTCTCCTTGGGGGGCAGGAACAGGTTGTCCTCCAGTGCTGGTCCTCGCTCACCCTCATCCACAAAGCCATAGTTGGTCTTGCCCCGCCGGCTTGGGGGGCTGGTGATAGAGCAGACCTCAATATCGTCCTCATCCTGTGCCACATCATCATAGGCAGGCGGTGGGGGCAACGGCCGGGCATCCCAATCCACCACAGGTGTGGGGTGGAGAGGCCGAGGTAGAGCCCGTGTGGGGCTCTGTGGTGGGGTCTTGTCCAGCAAAGAGCAGGCTTCCATGGCCAGCTTGGCTAATGATGGGGCTGTCAGCTCCCCCACTGGAGAGGGGCTACCCTGGGGCACTTCCTCCCCAAAGTCAATGAGGGTCACCTCGCTGCTTGCCAGCCCCTCGCTTGCCAGCCGTCCGGGTTGCCGTTCGCCCACCTTGGTACCCGGTACTCGTGCTGATGGCTTGACCGGCCGCAGACCCTTCCCTGTGCCTGGCTTCTTCAGGCAGAGTTTCCGGAGACCCCCTGGCAGACCCTCCTCCTCCTCACTAACTGGGTCGTAGCAAGGCTCTAGAAGGGGACAAAGAGGGATGGTGAGGGTCCCAGCACCCATCCCTAGGGTGCAAGAAGCGGCATCTGCATCTCCAAGCCCACAAACCACCCCATAGTTTCAGCCCTCTTTGCTTCTAAGGCATACCAGGGCACCTGCCCCAGACCACGCAGGTAAGAGAGAAAAGACAGAGGATGTGAAGAAGGGAGAGCAGCACACAAAGAAGCCCAACTTACTGGTGAGCAGGACGGTAGGCTGAGGTGGGCGTGGAGGAGGCTGCCCTGCAGAAGAGAGAACCCAAGAGAAGGGGAAGCATAGGGTGAACACAGAAGCGGCAGCCAGCGTGCTTGTTAATGAAGTGCATGCTTTGTTTTGTCCCCCTTCACTGGTGGGGCACGGGGAGGATGCTGGTGGGAAGCCCCCCCAAGGAAAAATTACATCTATGGGGATTGGGGCATACGCACAGCATCCGAGTTCCCTCCCCGTGGCAGCTCCATTGAGATCCCCCGCACTGGGGAGCTGGCTGGGAGGGGACAAGGGACTCGGACGAAGGGCAGCAGGGCAGAGTCCAGCCAGGCAGAGCCACCAGCCGGCCACGCTGCTGGCAGTGACCTATGGCCAGGTGACAACACACCCCATCACCCCAGCTTCTCCCATTCTGCAAAAAGCAAGTGCCAGCAGAGAGACAGAAAGGAGAGGGTCCAGCCCATCACCCCAGCAGCAGGGTACAGGGACGGGGGCTTTACCCAGCTGATGGGCAGGAGGAAGGAGAAAAGCCACTCACTTTTAGCCCTCCCTGGAAGCTGTGTAGGTCTGGCAGCACTCGGGTCCACACCTAAAATATCAGGAGGGTCCATGGGATTTCCCAGGTACAGCCTGCGAGGAGAGAGGAGAGTGCCTGGGAGTCAGCAGAGGCCACATGAGACCCCTTGCTACCCAGGCTTGTGCCTTGGGATACCCCACAACTCCTCCACCACACAACCACGCCTGGTGAGTACCATTCCTGAAAGTGCTGGGGCAACACACCCCAGAGGTTTCCAGTGCTACGGCACAGATATCACCCCACCCACCTCCAGCTCCGCGTGCATCTGTGGCTGCCTGTGCTGTGTCCAGGGGACTGCAAGCAGGGCATTGTGTCCAGGGTACTTGTGCAGCGTGTGGTGCCCAGGACAGCTCTCCAGCACCAGGGCGATGCTGTGCCCAAGGCAGGATGCCCTGGTACCGCATGCCAGTGGGTGCCGGGAGGCCCGGGCGAGCCGTCGCAAGCCAGGGAGCCGGCGGGAGCTGGCGCAGCCCGAGGGCTTGGGCGTGTGCCGAGCTCGGTGCGTTCTCGGCAGCCCGGGCAGCACGTACCCAGCGCCCGTGCCCACGCAGTGGGGCGCGGGGAGGCCTGCCGGGGCACGAGCCAGATCCGCGTGCATGCTGCCTCAGTTCAGCCCTCCGAGGGCCACCGGCACAGCCCATGACACAGGGTGCTGAGGAGGGGTCAGGCTGGGATTGAGGGCACCGGCAGAGCTGTCCCAGGTCTGGGATAACAAACAGTCAGGATCATGATCCTGATCCAGGGGATGGACTGAGCCTAGCACAGGAGCTGGCCCTACCCATTAGGAGCTTTCTAATTTTTGAAATCCTATCCCGTCCCCCACCACATCGACCTCCCACATCCCTCCAGCCCAGTGCTAGGAGAGATCCCCACGTGTTCCCTGCCAAGGCACTCCTGATCACTGTCACACAACCAATCTCACCTGGCAAAGAGTATGTGGGACACTGGAGCAGAAGCACCCAGCCCCCCTTCCCCCATCACAGTCCAGCCATGTGCGTTCTGATAGAGCAGGGTGCAGAAAAAAATCATTTTCGTGGATTTTTTTCATATTTTGCTTTTCAAAAAGACTCATGCTGTTAGAAGCATGGGGCCAGGCTGCAAGCTGCGCACATTTTGCAGCCCTGGGACACCCCAAAAATGTTTTGGGGTAATGTGGCCACCTCTGGGGTGGCGCTTACTCTCCCTGCCCCCAGACAGCCACAAAAGTCTCCCCCCTTGCACAGCCACAAGCACAGCAGCCCTTCACATCCCTAAGCCCATTAGTAGGAAGAGGCAAGGAAGTTAGTTCAGCTGCAGGGACCCTACCCAGAGCCACCATTCCCAATAAAGCGGGGACAGAAAGAGATGCTTCATGGGGAGAGGAGGGCAGTAGCCAAGCCGCGTCTTGCTCCCGAGCCCAGTGGGCAGTGGGGAAGGGAGGGAGCAGGCAGAGGATGCAGAGAAGACAAAAAGTTTCTTACTCATCAATTTTATCGGGAAACCCCCAGCAGTGCTGCGGGTTGGTGTCTCCATGGCCTGTGTGGATGAAGCTGTTTTTAAGCGGCTGGCTGATGTCGTGGGCTGACAGCCCTGCCACCGAGGTCACCGTGTTTCGGGGAAATTGGCCCACTTTTAGGGTCCGTTTATTCTGACCCCGCCACCAGTAATTCTCGGCCCTAAGGAACAAAAAGGACCTCGTTACTGATGAGGGGATGGGAGGTTGACACACGCCTGCCCCAGTGATGGGGAGGAGGCAAGGTGACTTGTCCAAGTGCACGAATGCAGGCGGTGACAAAACCGGAAAGGGACCCTGGGTGCCCAGGATCCCAACCCTACACCAGCAGTACACTTTGGCTCCCACCCCACATGGTCCCTGCACCTGGTGGTGCTGGGAATGTCAGTAGTGGGGAACAAAGCTCCATGCTTGTGTCCCAAAGATACGCCCCTTCCTCCTTGCTGCCTCAAGTTACGCAGGAGCCTTGTGGTGATGCCTGCACCAAGCTCTTTGTCACCAATCTCTCTGTGCCCCATCCACTGAAGGATGGCATAGGGAACATGCTTGGCATCTGAAGGGGGCCCAGGGGGGGACAGTAGTCTGTGGAGTCTTCCTCGCTCCCTTCCTACATTATCAATGAGCCCTGTGCAGGCTTGTGCGGGCAGGAGGAAATGGGCAGAAAGACAGGCAGTGGGCTTAGGCTGTCAATCTTCCAGGAGCTACCTGAGTGGCCCAGGCCACCCTGGGGCACTGGTCCCCAGTGTGTCCCCGAAGATTTGCCCAGGATGCAGCCACTTCTGGGGGAGATGAGGTGGTCATCTAGCCCAGAGGGACTGGTGGGGGGAAAAGGGATGGGGCAGGGCAAGGCATCCCAAGTGGTGTACCCCACCCAACACTGTACCAAATAAATGGCGGGGGGGGCTCCGACCCTAAGCTATCCCCCTGCCTGTCAGGGCCCTCCACTCCCCATCGGCAGGGTGTGCTGTGGGCAGGGGGCAGTGGCAGTGGCACTGTGGGTGCCAGCGTGGTGAGGCTGGCACAGGCCCCGCAGTTTCCTGGAGTCACCTGTGAGTCACCCCCGGCCACCAGCTCAGCCCTTTTCCTGTTTACTTTCCCGCTGCCGCCAGCCAGCCGCCTTACTCAGAGCCGGGACCCCTCGGCAGAGCCCCGGCAGAGCCCAGCCCGTACCGAGCATCCTCCCTCACCCGCAGCAGGCTGGGGGAGGTGGGGGAACAGCTCCCTCCTCGGGAGGTTCCCCTCCACTCGCCCTCCCTGTGCCCCTCACCGCCAACCCCCCGACGAAGGGATGCTGCAGCCTGGCCATCCCTCCACTCTCCCTGCTCCCAGCCTCGGTCTCACCGAACCCGAGCTCGGACCCCCGGCACAAACCCGCTCCGGTGCTGTCCTGGCTCCTCTCCCCGCGACAGCCCCCTCCCACGAGCGGCTGGGTCCCCGGGGGGCTTTCAGGGAGGTCCCTGCCCCTGCCCACACACACGTACGCACACGCGGCGCCCGCCGAACGACAGGCAGGGGCTTGAAAAGGGGTGGGGGGTGTTTACGGTGCCCCGGGCGGCCTCGGCGGGGCCGGATGCGGCCCCCGGCAGGAGGCTCCCCCCTCCCCCCCGCCAGTCCTGCCAGGGCATCCCCACAAGCAGGCGGCTGCTGCCGGGGAAACTGAGGCACGGGGAGGGGGGTCCCCTCCGGGACTACCGGCAGTCGGTAGGGCTTCTGCCACCCCCGGGCTGCTGAACCCACCGCGTGTGCCCTGAGTCCGCATCCCCAAAACCTACCCACGGGGGGTCACCAAGGACCGGCGTCCCTCGGGGAAACTGAGGCAGGGGAAGCTGCGCCCCGATTCTACTCCACTCCCGGCAATTCCCGACCGACGGGCAACCTCCAGCCCCTCTTCCCGCTACATCCTTCTCTCCGCGGCTCACCTGGGGCCGGCGGCGGGGCGGGGGGAGCAGACCCGCAGCCCGGCCGCGATGCGGCGGCACGGACGATGCAGGCGCTCTGGCGCGGCCGCACCGCCCTCCGCCGCTCCTTCCCTCCCTCCGCCGACGCTGCTTCCCCTCCCCTCCCCTCCCCTCCCTGCAATTAAACCGCCAGACCCTGGGCAAGAGTCATCCCCGCGGCGGCGGACCGGGAGCAGCCGGTCCCTGCAGACACACAAACCCGGCCTGATTCACCCCGGGTTGTGACTAACCGCGGGGAGCCCGCCCGGGGCGGGGGACAGGGAGGGACGGGGACAGAGCCCTCCTCCTCCTCCTCCCCTCGGGGTTGGGAGGCCGGCTGTGGTGCGGGCATATCGAACTCCTTCGGGAGGTCCCCACTCTCCCCCAGCTGGAAGGTGACAGGCACATCCTGGGATAGGGATGCAGGGACAAAAGGGCCCCCTACTCCAGTCCCAGGCCCCTGGGGTGGTGGACGGGGTGGCTGTGCCCTGGCGTGGTCAGCAGGGAACAAGGAGCCACAGCATAGCGGGTTCTGCCAGCATGGTACCAAGTCCCATGGTGCCTCTCCCAGCCCGGTGACAGCAGTACGTCTCCAGGTGCTGGCGGCACGTCCCCACCACTATCAGCAGGGAGCGGCCCTGGGGCGTGCAGTTTCCCGGGGCAAACCCACGGGCACAGTGGAGTGAGTCAGCAGGGATGGTGCCGGCAGGGCTGTGGGCAGTGTGGGCAGGGCTGTGCCCTCCAGCACCGGGGTGGCCCCATGACGCTGCGCTGCCTGGGAGACCACAAACATACCAGCTCTGCCCACCCGTGGGGTACATGGCCAGGTATGCTGGGGGCACAGCTTCCCCTCCCTGCTTCCCATAGCTCTGCCAGTGCCCACAGTCTTCCCATTCCCTATCCCAATGCAGGCTGGCTGGCAGTCCATTGCCCACTCTACAATACCTGCCACCCTCCCATGCAGTACCTGCCCTCAATGACTGTGATGATGTCGTTCATCTGGATGTGCAGCTTGTCTGGTTCCTCAAAGTCCTGCAGCGCTCTCATGTCAGTGGGCTGAGCCTGGAGGAGAGGTGGGTGAGGATAGGGGATGCAGCCCCCATGTCCATCCTCTTTTGAGGCCAGGCCCAGCCCAAAGGAGGGCAGAGAGACCCCAAAAATGGGCAAGAGATAGCATCATCACTAGCTGCTCCTCAGCTGTCACATCCCTGGGATGTGTGATGGCAAGGCAGCAACCAGGTGCTTCCTGCTGTGACCATGTCACCACCCTCCACCTCCCAGCCTGTAGGGCTGCCTGGCCTGAACTCCCTCATGTCACCTTCCACCCACCTCGGCAATATTCTTAACTCTAACCATGCTTCAGCAGAGCTAGCAGCATGGGGTGCTGGGGCACCTGTCTCCCTCCCTGCTCACCTACCTCCACCAAGAAGTCTCTCAAGGCCACGAAGGTGGGCCGGTCCTCGGGCTTGTGCGCCCAGCACTGCAGCATGACATTGTAGATGTCCTGGGGACAGTCTTCAGGCCGCGGCAGCCGCTCACCCTCTTTGTCTATCTTGTGCAGGATCTGTTGGACAGGGTGTGCTGTCAGGGTGTCCCAGATCTCCCTCAGCACCAGCAGGGTGAGGCGAGGGGGCAGGTCTCTGCTGTACACTTACCTGGCTGCCATTGAGGCCAATCCAAGGCTCCTGACCATAGGTGAACATCTCCCAGAGGGTAACTCCGAACATCCAGGTGTCGCTGGCATGGGAGAAGGTGCGTGTCTTCAGGCTCTCAGGAGCACACCTACAGGGGGAAGGACATGAGCATCAGGAGGCCGTGGGTGCTGCACCTCCAGGTCTCCCCTTCCCCAAGGCTCACCAGGCAAAGGGGACTTTGCGATGCTCCTGCATCACGTAGTGATCATCATTTTTGGGCAGTGCCCGCATCAATCCGAAGTCCCCAATCTTGACAAGCTCATTAGAGGCCAGCAGGATGTTGCGGGCAGCCAGGTCGCGGTGGATGAAGCGCTTGGACTCCAGGTAGGCCATGCCCTTGGCCACTTGGATGGCATACTGGCACAGGGTGGAGATGAGGAAATGGCCCTGGTTCTTCCGCAGGCGGTCCAGGAGGGAGCCCAGTGGGGCCAGCTCTGTCACCTGAGCCATGGGATGAGGACAGCAAGCAGGTCAGTCCAGGGCCACTCTGGTTGGGCTGGTTTCCAGCCTTCTTATGCCCCACTGGGGATGCCAGCAGAGGACTTGGGGTACAGACCCAGCCTGGCTTTGCTCATGCCATCATGTGGGACCCCCACCTGGGAGTGTCATTGGGGTGGGTCCCATCCCCCCACACTCACCATCTTCATGGGGTGGGAGAGCACCACGCCATACAGGCGGATGAGGTTCCTGTGGTCCAGGGAGTGCATGGCATTCACCTCCCGGATGAAGTCGTCCAGTGCCTCCGGCTGGCTCAGCACGTCTGTCTTGAGGCACTTCACTGCCACATTCAGCTATGGTCAAAGCAGGGATGAGCTCCGAAGTGTCTTCCCGAGTGTGGTCCCATTGCCTGGTTCCCCAACCCCCAGAACAGCCCCTCACCGTCTTGCCAGCAGGTGTGCACCACTCGCCGCGACGCACGACACCGAAGGAGCCGTCACCCAGCTTCTCAAAGATGGAGAGGTCCCGCTCCCGCACAAGGCAGGTGAGGGAGTGCTGGCCCCCTGCTTCAGGGGGTGGTGGTGTGGGAGGCTTGCGGAAGGTACTCTGGGGCTGGGGTGGCAGCTCTGACTCTGGACGCTTCCCACTGAACACCTGTGGGACATGGAAGAAGGTGAAACGTGGGCATGGAAAGACCCTAAGCCCTTGAGTCTGTAAGTGAGAAGTGCTGGCACAACCCCTTGCTTTGGCTGTACACACTGGAACCTAGTGATGACCCCTAACTGGTGATGACCCAGAGAAAGCTGTCTGTGGGAGAAGGCTCCATTCATCCTGCTACCACAGCAGCAGGATGAGCTGTGATTCCCATGGAGGGAAGAGGTTGTTCCTCTTGCAGCAGCTCTGCAGCAGTTCCCCAGCAGCCACAGCAAACCAGGCTGGTAGCCAGAGGGCCCTGGGCACTCCTTGGCCAGGCTGAGGCCACACAATGTGCCTGGGCACAAAGCCAAGGAAAACCTCCAGCTTGGGCTGAGTGTGGTGACACATCCCTGCAGGACGTGGGCTTTGCAATGCGTGCTGGCTACCACTGCTCAGAAGGGATGGGCTCTCCTTCCATCTCCCTCAGCTGGGACAGATGATGTGCTCCATGGGAGAGGGTCCATTCCAGTCTCGATACAGGATGTGCAAGGGCTGGGCCCAGCATGTGTCTGGGGTGGGAGGTGGCATTTCTGCTATTTATTCTTTAATAGAAGTAGCCTTCTATTAAAAGCCCATCCTCATCATGTCCCAGCACAGACAAGTCATGCAGGGGAGAGGCCATGGCCCAGTGCCCAGCTGGCAAACTGGGCTCTGCCAAACTCTGCTTCTCTGAGGTGCCATGTGCCAGAGTTGCCAGCAGTACCAGCTTTGGATGGGATGGAATTAGGGCATATGTGAACATCCCAAGGTCTCCTGTCACAGTGTGTCCCAGCCTGCAGGTACAGGGCTTTTCCCCCCTCGCTGTGAGGCAGCAGGGTGGGCAGTGTCCTGGGCACCACTGCTGCCCACAGAGCTGTCTGGAGCAAGGCTCTCTGGTTCATTTTTTGCAAACAAGTTTCCTGACAAACAGGCAAATAACATGAAGGGAATGAATTTTCCAAGTGCTGGGGTAACAGGGCCGTCCTTCACTGGGAAGTGACCTAGGAGCCTGAGGGGGACTGGGGTGCACACTGGCAGGGTCACACCACAGGTGGTGGGGGGGTATGGATGGCAGGAGCTTCTGCCCATTTCACTGTCAGCCTCCAGGGATGTGGGGGAGCCAGGCACCCTGAAAGGGTACAGGGAGGAGTCCAGCTCTTCCTGTCTGCCTCAGTTTCTCTGCCACACCTGTCCCTCTCCCATCCCTACCTTGCTCATCCAGGATTTCCGCTTGCACATGGCTTTCCTCCGCTTCACTGCCTCCCACAGCCGCCGCTGGCCTGCAGGACATGGGGACACAGTGACTGTCACAAGCCAGTTGGGGTAGGGGTCCCCTCCAATCCCATATACTCTTGTGGGCTTCCCAAAAGATGCTGCAAATCCAGAGAAGGGTAAGGGGAGAGGTTTGGGGGGATGTACACACCGGGGCGTCCCATGCCGATCTTCTCCAGATCCTCATTTTTGACGTACTCGAAGTGGGAGAGGCGTGTGACGTTGAGCTCGTCTCGGATACGCAGGAAGTACTGCTGCAGCTGCAGCTCGGTGAGCAGCTCCAGCAGCCAGTCCGTGCCCTCCTCTGCCTGCATGCTACAGCTCAGCCTCTGCTGGGACAAAATATCGCGTTGGGGCAGCCCTGCTCAACTCTCCTCTGCCCTATCCCCACAGGGGAATCACCCAGGGGAGCTCTGAACCAAGGCTGGGGTACTGCTGTGAGGGATACTAGTGGAGGCATCTCCTGAGCCTGTCACCACGTCTCTGGGGGAGAAGCACCCCAATCAGCAGAGACAGGAAGGGCCCCCCAGTCTGCCCTGTCCTGCCCACAGAAACACCAGCCCACCTCTCCATTCCAGCACAGGCTATCCCCTGGTCAGGGGTTCCAAGGACACAGGAGGAAGCTCAGGACAGATGTGCCTGCTCAATTCCCTCTGCTCAGCTGAAAGGGCTGAGCTGGGATATGATAGCTGTCCCCAGCAGGGACAGCCGCCTTGGCCCCTTGGCATGCCGGCACGCTTGGCTGAGTTGTAGTACAAACTGACAGTGGGTCTCCTCTGCCACGGGTGGTGGCACCCCACTGGGCAGACAGAGGGTCTGGGCTTCTGGAGGGTCCTGTTGCTCCAGCGCTGAGGTACAGGGCACCCCAGTGCTGCTGGCATCAGCCCCCAGCCATGCAAGGACACAGAGAGGAAGCGCTGGAGCCCCAGACTCCCCAACCCTGCCTGTTGTCCCGGCTCTCCCCCGCATTCATCACCATCTTTCTGGAAGTGACACGGCTCTGCCTCCGCCTGCTGAGAGCGGGTGGGAGGTTGGGACCCGCCATCCCAGCTCCACAGAGCGGCAGCCCCCTGCATCCTCTTCTCTTCCCTGGGAGACGACATGGCCCCTGGCGTCTTCACCCGCTGTGCTCGGCTCCCTCGGCCGAGTCACCGCAATTACAGTCCTCGGCACTGGGCTAAAAATACGGAGGGCGCGGCGAGCAGCTGGGCACGGGGGCGCATGGGGGCATGCAGGGCCACACGGGGCGAAGGGAGCTGCGGCTCCCCGCCCGCAGGCGACGGGGACGGGACCGGGTGACGGCCAGCGTAGGGTCTGCCCGGAGCGAGGGTCAGCACTTACTCGGTAGAGGCGGAAGCGGGTGAGGAAGGGGAAGGATCGGTGCAAAGCCTGGAAGCGTCGCATCCTGCCTGGCTGCCAGCCCCTGGCACCGCCGATGTCCCTTCCCCGGTGCCGGCGTCCCACGGCGGATCCCACTCACCGCAGCCGGGGCACCCGCAGTCCCTTCATTTGCGCTACAGAGATGTCCCCTGGGCTCGACCGTCCCATAGACCTCCCCGGAGCGGGCAGGGGGTTCGGGCTGTCCGTCGGCCGGACGCGGGCTGTGGCTCTGCCCCTCCTTCCATCCGGCTCTCGATCCTCTGGCCGGCCGGCCCTCCCCTTCCCCAACGCAACGGGGCCGGGGCGGGGGGTGGCGGCAGGCAGGGCTAGGGGTCACTCCCCTGGCTGGAGCCGCTTCCCGGGGACCCCTCGCTGGCAGCGGGGTTCGGTCCCGGCCGCCTGCCCGCAGCGCTGCCCAGGAGGGTTATTTTCAGCCGGGCTGGGACGCGCGCCCAAGGGGCCGGGCTCCCATCAATGTCCCGCTTTCTCCCTTGTTCGGCGGTCGCCGGCAGCTGGGAGCCCGGACCCTCGCTCCCATTGCCATGGAAACTCGCCCTGGCCTTGGGAAACGCTCCCAGGCCTCAGTTTCTCCCCCAGGAAGCGGGGAGGGAGGGAGGGAGGGAGAAGAGACATCCGGCTCTCTGCTCCCCAACCGAGGCCACAGGCATGATGCCAGGGCGATGGGCACTGCGGGGGGAGTTTCTGGCTCGGAAAACATATCCGCTGCCCAGCTGCCAGACCCCACGAGGCGCTGCCGTGGAGCACCACCAGCACCCTGGGGCTCGCTCCCCTTCCCTGGTGGGACTGTCACCCAACCTCAGCAGTGCTGTCCGCCCGTGGGCTCCCCAGGGAGAACAGCTGGCCACGCCGGCAGCCACAGCGTGAGAGAGGAAAGACCTAAAGGAACCTCTTGCCACAGCCCCAGCCTGCTTGGCCCCCCAAACCGTGGCCATTGCTGTGCCATGGGGGCAGCTAAGAGGGACTTAAGTGCAATCTCAGGAGGAGTCTCCGCTGGGGTTTCCACTGCAACTGGGATCCCAGCTGGCACCCAGCGGCAGAAGCACGGGGCACAACAAGCCCATTGACTAGGGACAACTGGGCACAGTGCCCTCGGCACCAACCTCTGCCACGCGCCAGCTTCCCCCGTCCCAGCTCAGGGGACACCAGAGGTGGGGGGGGTGCCCTGCCTTGACAGAGCATCACCTTCATCACGCAGAGATGGCACTCACTGGGACAGGAACCGAGTGCACTGCCTCCTGCACCCCCAAATCCCAGGTGAGGCTGCCCAGCTCAGTGCTCACGTCAGGAGTACAGGTTTCCAAAAGGGAATGGGGAACTCAGCTTTGCCCACCAGGCCAAAGGAGGTTTTGTGCCTCGGTTTCACTCTCTGCGACAGATATACACACACAGGGAGTGATCCTTCAACCTCGACTCTGAGCTGGGCAGGGAGTTCTGCCACTTCTCCCATCTTGAGGTAGGGAAGTCACAAATGCCCTAAATCTGCCGCCCAGGCGCTGCTCGGCCCTTGGTGCGCTGCACGCCCCTGCCATGCACACCCATCCCTGCAGCGCCAGGGATGCACCCTACGTGCACCCAGGCTCATGCACGGTGCGTGGTGAGGACGCTCACGTGCATCCCAGGACCACACAGGAGCAATCCCCCCGCGTGCCTCCCGCCACCTGCACAACCGCAGCCGCCCCCCACGCACGTCCCCTCCGCACCCCCCGGCCGCCGCCCTGCCCGGCCGCACGTGCGCAAACACCGCGGCACCGCCGCCGGCTCCGTCCTGCTCCCGCCTCCGCCCGACGCGCACCTGGAGCCGCCAGCCCCCTGCGCGCCCACGGGTGCCCACCCCCGCCGTGCCACGCTCGTCGCCTCCGCGCTTGCCTGGCAGCGCACACACCCGTCCGAGCTGGCACGTGGAGGGGGGGGTCAGTCCTCCCACCTTTCTCCCTTCCGTCCCCTCCATTACACCTATCCCTAATGACACCACAATACCTGTCCTACACCTCAAGCCCCCTGCACGTACACGTTCCCCAAATCCATGCAAAGCCTGACATTCCCCAGGGATACCCCCATGTGGGGGCGGCGGGGCCACCGTCTGGTTGCGGCACTGCAGCTGGGGGACGGTATCCTGTGCTGGGCACCGTGCCCCCCCTCCACGAGCAATGCCAGGCTTGGCTGAGCCTCGCTGCCTCACACCATTCCTCCATGCCTGTTTCCCCAGCAAGAAGCAGCAGGCAGTCCCCCTCCCGTGGGTCAGGATGGGAGCACAGCCAAGCAAGGGGGGGGTGTCATGCTGCCCGGGATGCTGTAGGGTACACCATATTCCATAGGGGAGATGCCATGCAGGGACCTCCTGTGCTCCATGTCAGCGGCCAACCCATGCCCATCCTGGGGCCATCAAGCTCAGCCAGGTGTCCCCCGCTGCTCCCCTGTACCGATTCCCCCCCACTGACCCGCCGGCACGGCATGCCCGGGGCGATGTCCTGCCGGGGGGGTGAGGTGGGCCTCCTGCTGCCCAGCCGCAGGGCCCGCTGCCCGGTGCTGTCCGAGAAGCTGTGGGGCAGGGGGCCGTGCACTTCCTCCTCCTCCTCGGCGCTGCTCAAGCGCTGGTAGTCGCATCTCTCGCCCATGGCTGAGGCGGCGGCTGCGGCGCAGCGGCGAGCGGGGGGCTCTGCGGAGACGCCCGCGTCTGCCTGGGGGCGGCGAGGGCTGGAGCCGGGTTTGGGATCACATGGCAGAAAGTTGCTGCAGTTCCGGAAAACAGCGAGAGGGTGAAGGTGACCGCGACAGCAATGGTGGGGGTTGGGGGGGAGGATGGATGGAGGGATGCAGACGAAAAGGAAAAAAAGAAGGGGGGAAGCCCCTTAAGCGCTTGTCCTCACCCCAATCCCAGCCTGGCACCACTGTCTTCCTCCCGGCGCGGCAGCCCAGCCGCACACCTTCTGTCCCTGCTCCGGCTCCTGAGTGGAGAGGTGGTGGCATCGCTGCCAGCGCCGCGCTCGCAGCCCCCTTCTCCCCGCACCCCGGCACGGTGCACCAGGCAGCCAGGCGGAGGAGGAGGATGAGGGGGGACCATCGTCAAGCAGCCGGGACTCTATGGCAGGCAGGACGGGTAGGAAAGCACCTGCAGAGGGATGGGGGGCTCTGGCGCTGGCAGTATCCCCAGCATCCCTCCCGCTTCCCTGCGCAGGCAGAGGGGGATGGGATGCACCGGGAAGATGGCTGCTCCGCAGCGACCGGCAGCGCTGGCGCAAGCACGGCAGGGCTGGGATAGCAGCCAGGCCCCGGGGGTGCCACTGGGGATGGGGGTCCGAAGGCCACGCCAGGATCAGTCCTCTCCCCCCACCCCCTGAGAGGGGGCTGCGGGTCTCCTAGACCTCTGCCACGCACTGCTGCAGCTGGCACAGTCCCCAGCAGGAAGCCGCCCCCCTGGATGGGGAACCCCCACACCTGCACATCGGGACCAGCCTGTACCCCAACGCTGCCTAGCCACAGTCCTTCTCCCAGCCTCCGGACCAGAGCTGCAAGTAGGTTGAAACTGGGGGATGGGGGGTGAGGCTGCAGCCCCCTAAAAGACCCCTGTGACCTGCCTGTCCTTTGGGGCACAGCAGAGTCCCCAGGGACCAATTTGCTCCTCGTGCCAACGCCACAGGGCATGATGCCCCATTCTGACCCCCAGAAGCACCCCCACGACCCATCACTATTCCCCCCACAGAGCCCTGAGAACCTGGTGTAGCCAAAGGAGTGACACCAGGCTGCCAACGTGACAAGGCAGGGGGCAAGAGAGTTTCCTGCCCCCCCTTCCCCTCTCCCTGCTCCAGAGAAACAAACATCCCCAATCCCGGTGGGCATCTGCCCTGGCTGAGGGGCCGGGCGGGGACAGCCCCTTGGCGACTCCTCCTGCCATACCACGGAGGTGAGCTCAGCCGTGGAGCCGAGGCGGGCCGAGCCTGCGGCGTGGGAGCAGCGAGCCGCCCCCGCGCACGGCCCGCCGGCGTCACCGCGCTGGCACGCCACGGGACGGTGACTGATGCACGTGCTATGCCACCTTCCCTCCGGAACCAGCCGCCCTGTGCTACCCCAAAACCCTCACCAGCCTGCCCGGTGAAGGCGATGCTGTGGGATTGAGTAGGGACAGCCCCTGTCCCCACAGCCCTAGGCATGGATTTGGGTCACGCACGTCGGGTCCTCCTGGCCTGCCCAGGTTAAAGTGACACCAAAATGATTAGGTACTCCACAAGTGGTCAAATGGCATCGTATCCTGCCAGCCTTGACTCACCTGCCCGCAATTCCCACCCTGCGGGGGATCCCACCACAATGACAACCACTGGATGGGGTGCACTGTCTTCTACCCTCCAGGGTGTGACAGTCACACTGAACACAAGGTGTCCCTCCCCTCTGTGGGGACACTGGTACTCCCCAGCCCTCTGGGCCACCACACTTAACCCCACATCCCTGGGACCAGTGCCGCAGCATCCCCCACGTCCACCACTCCGCATAGAGGAACCCAGAAACTGGTGGGTACCCAAAACAAGCTCCCAGAGGGGAATGGGGTCCCCTACTCACCTCCATCACATTACCCTGCTTACTGTCACAGCCCGCCTGCCACTTTCCTGCCACCTTCCTGGCAGCTGTGTCGCCTGGAAGTGATCTCACCGACTGCGGCGGCAGCAGAGCAGCCGCACCGTCACCCCGGGCTGGCTTGTTCAGCCCTGGCAAGGCCCCGAGGGCGGCCCCAAATTGTGGTGACACACTCCCCAGCCCGGCTGCCACAGCGCAGGTGTGCAGACACGCACATATCCACGCGTACAAACACACCCCGCTCCCACCAGAGGCAGGGCTGCTGCCTGCATCCTGCCCACCCGTGGATGCTGCTGCCACCCAGCACTCGGGGACTGTCCCCAGCCCCTCGCTGGACTGTGCCACCCCACATACCCCCATAGCAGTGCGTGCTTTACCTCCCTCGGCGCTGGCACCTGATGCTGCTTAGTTGGCTGGATGGAACAAGCAGGAGGTCTTGGAGGGCCAGCATGGAGGGTTGGTGACCCCCGTGGCAGGGGTGGCCGGGGAGGCCGAGGTGCCAGGTTCCTCCTCGCTGCCA